GGGCCTGCTCGGTGGGCAAGGGGAGCCTGGGCCACCTCGGTGGGCAAGGGGAGCCTCCCGGGCCTGCCTCGGTGGGCAGCGGGCCTGCTCGGTGGGCAAGGGGAGCCTGGGCCACCTCGGTGGGCAAGGGAAGCCTGGGCCACCTCGGTGGGCAAGGGGAGCCCTAGCTGCCTTCTGTGGGCAAGGGGAGCCCCCAGGCCTGCTCGGTGGGCAGGGGGAGCCCTAGCTGCCTTCTGTGGGCAGGGGGAGCCCCCAGGCCTGCTCGGTGGGCAAGGAGAGCCCCAGCCGCCTTCTGTGGGCAAGGAGAGCCCCAGCCGCCTTCTGTGGGCAGGGGGAGCCCCCAGGCCTGCTCGGTGGGCAGCGGGCCTGCTCGGTGGGCAAGGGGAGCCTGGGCCACCTCGGTGGGCAGGAGAGCCCTGTCCTCTCCCACCAATGGAGTGTCCTGGCAGCCGCCCCAATGGAGAGGCCTGAGGGCCCCAGGGAGGCTGTCGGTGGGGCCTGGCGGGGGCTGCAGCTCACAGCTCTGGGGGGTGAGGGCAGTGGTGCTGGTTAATCCGCCTGTAATTTATCCACATGGCGCTTCTGTGGCAGTGGCTTTTCTTTCCCCTGCGGTTGTAGCCATAGGAGATCGCCATAGGTCCCTTCCAGCCCCTGCCGTTCTGTGATCCAAGAGCCTTGTAATGGGGAAATAAAGGGAAGGCGGTACAATATATCTGTATCAAATGCTGTTCGATGAAGGGAAGGGGAAAAAAAACACATGAAAACTTTGTTCAGATGGTGATTTCCTGCGAGTCAGACATCTGCTGGTTTGTAGGAGTGTTGAAGCCATTCCGAGCTACAGGAGTTCATCACCTTGGAAAACATCGACTCCTGTGGTGGCTTTTTTGTCTGGAGGATTGTGCAGCACAGTGCTCAAAAATGGCAATGCTTTTTACAGTTCAGGGCCACAGGTGTAATGTAGAACAGTTCCTTGCATGAGGGGGTAAAAGTGCCTGTCACTGCCTAAAGTGAGTCATTTCTTGCTGGTTTTGAAAGGGAAATCAGATCCTATCACAGGTAAAGGAAGAAAAAAGATAACATATACTGATTTTCATCCTAAATTTGCTTCTGATGTTATTAATTTCAGACTAGAACTCTACCTAGCTGGCTGCCACCTTTGAGTGGCTAATTTTATTAATTATTCACCAGTCAGGCTACGGGGCTTTTGCAGCCAGAATAGGCAAATGCTTTGTTTCTCTCAGCTCACCGTTGCATTTAAATGCGCACAAAATATTTTTCTGGGCTTCTCTTTCTGCTGACAGCCCTCGTGACAGATAAAGTACCATCACACCACAGTAGGGACTTACTGGATATTGCACAGGTTTTTTGACAGCCGCCTTCCTTGTCTTTGCCCACAGGGCAGGCCCCTCTGTGTTACTGATCACGTACAAATATGAGCTTTCCCTTTGGCTTTGGAAGGTTATTGCCTTGGGCTCCTCTGCAAGTTTCCTCCAAAGGCCCGATTTTGAATTTTGTTTTGAGTCACAGAATGCTATGGGGTTGGAAGAGACCTCTGGAGATCATCTAGTCCAACCCCCTGCCAAAGCAGGGCCACCCAGAGCAGGTCCCACAGGAATGTGTCCAGGGGGGTTTGGAATGTCTTCAGAGAAGGAGACTCCACCACCTCTCTGGGCAGCCTCTGCCAGGGCTCTGCCACCCTCACAGGAAAGAAGTTCCTCCTCATCTTTAGGTAGAACTTATTATGTTCAAGTTTGCGTCCGTTCCTTCTTATCCTCTCCCTGGGCACCACTGAAAAAAGACCAGCCCTGTCCTCCTGACACCCACCCTTTAAGTATTTATAGATGTTGATCAGATCTCCCCTCAGTCTTCTCTTCTCCAGACTAAAAAGACCCAAGTCCCTCAGACTCCCCTCCTAAGAGAGATGCTCCAGGCCCCTCATCATCTTGGTGGCCATCTGCTGTCCCCTCTCCAGCAGTTCCCTGTCCTTCTGGAACTGGGGAGCCCAGAACTGGACCCAGTGCTCCAGATGGGGCCTCCCCAGTGCAGAGCAGAGGGGCAGGATGACCTCCCTCCACCTGCTGCTCACCCTCTTCCTGCTGCCCTCCAGGATGCCATTGGCCTTCTTGGCCACCAGGGCCCATTGCTGGCTCATGGTCATCCTGTTGTCCACCAGGACTCCCAGGTCTTTCTCCTCAGAGCTGCTCTCCAGCAGGTCACCCCCAACCTGTCCTGGTGCAGGGGGTTATTCCTCCCCAGGTGCAGCACCCGACACTTGCCCTGGTTTTGAAGTTCACCAGGTTCCTCTCTGCCCAGCTCTCCAGCCTGAGTCACACCTCATCTAGCACTATGCCTCCAATGGGGCTGTAATTTTGGTGGCCAGATTCTGCTGGAGGTTTTCCATCGGCACACCAGCATGGAAAGATCAGAGCTGGTTAGGCCTCCCTCCCTCCTGCGCCTATCTGGTCTGTCCTCTTTGAGGCCAGTTTGCAGCTGGGAGGAGGAGCAGTCCCACCAGTTGGGGAGAGGAAGATCCCTAAGGAATGCAGGGGTGAGGAAGATCCCTAAGGAATGCAGCCCAATAGCCCACGTGTGCAGTGCCTGGGGGTGCAGAGCAGGTTGCTGGTGCTCTGCGTGAAGCTGCCTCTGGTGGGATTTGGTAGGTTTTGTTCTGTTTGGTGGTTTGGTTTTTGTGTTTTCGTTCTCTTCAGTGTCACAGATAAATGCTAGACTTTCCCAAGAGAGTTAACTCCCATTTCCAGCTGTGCTGTATAATGAGCCTTGCTGTGAACCATCGCTGCAGGGGAAGGGTTTCCACAGCACTGGGTTCCTGTAAACAGATGGCAATGATTGGAAAAACAAAATAATAATAACCTGAAACAAGAAGACACTTGTATGAAACGATTCATGACATAGACTTCTGGTTGGATTAGATTATTGCTGCAATAATGGTTTGTTCCCCACCCCCCAAATTCTCAATTTTAAGTTATTTTTCCTGAGGAGGAATGTTCTGGGGAATCCTAGCACGCTTTGCCTGGCTTAAAAATGTCATTTTGTTATAAGGGGTTTGTTACTGTGGGTTGTCTGTGATGGGGTAGAAGATGCGGATGGTCCTCTGGCTTGGCTGTCCATCCCTCTCCCACGGTGAGCTCTCTTCTTTCCCTGCCAGGCTGCAAGTTTGGGCTTCAGCAGCTCGAGGGAGAGGCAGAGTCCTGTTTTGTGCACAGAGAGCATTTGCTGTTCTTCCTCAAACTCTTTTCCAATTGTTTTTTGGGGTTTTTTGTAGTGTCCTTGAACTAATGTATTGTTACTTAGAATTGGTCTCCAGAGCAACTGTGTTGCTGTGCTGTGTATATTTACTGAGTCACCTGCATTTGCAGAAGATAGGAAAAAGTTTACTATTACTGGAGGTTTTGTTTCTACTTCTTTATGGCCCTTGCAAGGTTGGGACAGAAAGAGGTTGTTCTTGCACGTGTAAATTTTCATGACAGCTTTACAAGTCTGCATTTATGACGGTATCTGAGCAGTAAATAATCATTCTCTCAACAAAAAAAAAAAAAAAAAAGGCAGTTGTTATCCTACATTGTGGTGTGCTAACGGTGATTTGGTTCTGGATATTTATTTTGCATAAACTGAAGCAACATCTTGGTTTTTAGTGGTTTGGTTTTTTTTTCCCTTTTTCCCCATCCTATTGTACGCACCCAAGGATGAGAAGATTCTTTTGATGATAGTTTTGCTTTGCTTATTTACACAGAGACCAGGCACTCTGGTTGTCTCATTTTAAGGA